GTCAAAACCCTTTGGGTGCCTCTCACATACACACAAATCTCATGATAATCGAGGTTTGAGACTCTTGGTGCTAGTGCAACAAGATCTTAGAGTCACATGGCTCTCACTCACTCCCACTGTGATAAAGAGCTATCAAGAGAAAATAGTATGTTGGCAACGCCTTTAAGGGCCACAACTCCAACAGGTTGAACCCATGCTGCTAGCAAATAAATACTCAAAAAACACACTCCAACGAGCATATAAGTGCGAAAATTCACCAATTGAGGTGGGTGATTCCCAGTGGAGTCACCAGAAGGTCTGCCGCGCTCGTGTGTGGTGTGTGCGGATTTGTGAATTTGTGATTCTGAAATCTTTATGGATAAAGCAAAATTCAATAACACATACAATAAAGCACAACAAACTTTCATTATATGAAGTAAAATAGTACAAAATGCACAAGACAATTACCTCCCATTTTAAAGGTTTGGATCTCGGGTCGTATTGGGACCCCCTCTTAGACCTCCAGTTTTTTGTTATTGGTTGAAGTCTCACACTCTCTTGGACTCTTGTTGACCCATGGGCCTTTGGGGTAATACCCTAATTTGTCCCGAAAGGGGGCCAATTTGGTGACAGAATCCTACTAGCCCTTGAGGTATTTGTTCTCGAGTAGGGAGGGCTACCCTAGTATTCTAGGCTCTTGAAGGGTTTTGGAGTGTGGATGATTTTGCACTTTGTTTGCTTGTTGGGGACTAGTTTAACCATTTTGCTTGGTTAGGGATTAGGGTTGGGTGTAGAAAATCAACCAACGGTGAACCCAGGGTTAGGTTTCTCAATTTATGTTACTCTCTCTGAGGAACTCTTGGGTTGTGAAACTACACAAATGATTCTCCTCCTTTGATATTGGGTGCTATACCTTTTTTATGTTGGGGGTTTCAGAGTAGGGTAGATTATGCACTTTATGGGGGCAATGTTGGGGTGATATTGTCCCGTCAAAACTAAAAAATAACAGAATTTTGGGTCCCAAATGCACAAATTTTCAGTCTGGTCCCTCACAAGCGCTTCCCCATCCCATGCCTACGGTATGAGGGCCTTATTTCTATTAAGTTTTTCTTATGCTGAGAGGAAAAGGAGGCACTTTAGACTTTTTGCTTGAAAAGAACTGGGCAATAGAGGCATGCTCAGGACAATGTATTCATATATTCAAATAAGTGGTGTTACATTAGGGCAACAACTTTACAAAAAAGCGCTTGTACATATACATGTTCCCAAATACAAGAATAAACATAAAACAAGAATATACATAAAACAAACCATCCAAAATTAAAACAAACCTTCCAAAAACAATTTCTTCCTTTTTGGTGCCACAAAGGGCCATCAATAGCAGGAAGATTGTTGATCGGGCTTCTATGGTCTTTTTGCAACAAATTTCATCAAAAAACTCCGAGAATGAAGGAAGTTCCTAGCTTTTTTGTGTTCTTGATTCCAAAATTCAGAAAACCATTTTCCATGTACTTGTTCTTCATTTTCTGGCAAGTTTTTGCTGATTTCTTAATGCCTCATTATCGAGAATAGATAGGCCTCAATCGTACAAATATTTTGGCTTGCGAATTACTTGAAAATTCCCCTTATCGAGTGAGTTATGAGCCTTTTATTGGATCAAAATTGCAAAATCAATGATGTCTATGATTTTCGATGCAAGTTTGCTTGAAATCGGCCTTTGAACTATGCCTTGATCATAGCTTTCTGCACACCTTTGGGAGAGCTATGATTCTAATGCACCAAATCCTATTGCTGGATCCTTATCGGATGAGAGAGATCTCTAGAAAACCAGCAAGAGGTTAAAGTCGCTGAGATTTGCATGACATGAAGAATAGCAAACTTCTCTCTAGATTTACATGAACTTCTGTGTAAGATAGCCTTCCATATGGACCTTAACGGAAAGCTTACTAGACCTAGAACTACATATCTGAGCCCTGGGCTGATCTGCCTTAGGGTCTGGGAGAAAGCAAGCCTGAAAGATGGCCATGAATTGCTGTTTCTGCAGTTTTTTTACCCCCATTTTAGGTGTATTATGAGAAATTAGCTTTTCTACAGTATGCTGCACCCTTGATGTTTCAGTAGGTAGACCCAAATGACCTTGGAACCGTGTGGCACTTTGGGGTTAGGGGTCTTTGAGGCCTCTAATTTCATTTGTGAGGGTCCCGGGTCGGTTAAAGGTCTACTTCCAAGGGTTCCTTTGTAATTGTGGTCTTTTTTAAATGCTCCACAGCCTATGTGTAGTAGTCCATACATTGTTTCGATTGTATCTTCTCCGTCCAACATTGTTTTGAGCTGAAATTTGGGGGTATTGGAGGCTGTCTTGAGGCTTGATTTGGGCTGGTTCACTGTTCACATTTGTGTTTACCATCTTTGATCATGACCGTATATTATGTTCTCCACAGTGGATCATGGTTATAATTGACTCTGAGACCTTGGGTTTTGTTCTGGAGGTCCTTCATCATACAAAATGAGGCTCCTTAAGGTTTGGACCCAGAATTCATCTATATGGGGGTTGGCCCTTTTTGCCATTTTCCTAATGCACCCTTTTGTTTTAAATGGGTCTTTTGGTGTGGGTTTGCCGGGTGCAGAAAATGCATGCAAACACCATACACATATTGTGTATGACCCATGTGGGGCCCAATGGCCAGGGGCCTACACCTGGGAACCACTCTTATGTGGTGTGTGGGCCCACTTGGGCTTCCATGACCCACATGCTCCACATGGTAAATATCTTTTTAACCTTGGTTCATATCTTCTAGGAGCTAGTTATTGTGATTGATGATGCTTTTGGAAAGAGGAGATAGCCTTTTAGAATATTGAGAAAATATTTTGAAAATAAAGGAATGTGTAAAGTCTTCGAGAAGTAAATATTTGGCTTCTAGAAATTCTCTTTATTGCCAGAAATTCTAGAATTAAAAGAGTATGAGTTAAAGAGACTAAGTGATAAGGGTTTTAGAACTTCCTTTTAATCATAGAGCTGATTTAGGTAATGGAGGGGTGAGAATTAAAGCGTCACTTCACCCCACAGATCACCATAGATCAATGTTTCAGATTGCGTCTATGGCAAGCCTGGCCTTGACACCACTGTGTAAGGGGGTCCCTTCTGCCCTTCTTGGACACAGATCTTCCCTTCTTGAACACAGATCTTGACTGAGTCTCTCTCCCCCCCCCCGCCTGGCCCCGCCCTGCCTCCCTCCCTCTCCATCTCCCCACACTTCTTCCTTTCTCTCCTCTCTCTCTTGTGGGGGTGCCAACCTCCTCTAGCAGCCCTAGAGTGGCATGTTTCGAGGCCCTAGCCCATCCTCCCTCTCTTTCATGTGTGTATGGTGGTTTTAGTTTTGTGGTTGGTGCATCTTGTGCACAAGCTTGGTTTTGCTTCCTCATACCCCTTCTATGAGTTGGTTTGTCTTTTTGTTTCCCATCTTGTGGAGAGTGCAACGGGGACCATGATTGGTGTGCGGTGCCCCATTGATATGAGTGATCCGTGTGGGGTACACTAAGTCCTTCGGAGGTGATCCAAGGCATGTATTTGGGTTACTGCATCCCATAGTTCTTGATTCTTTTCATTCTCATAAAGCTGTAATTTCTGTTATTAATGAATGAAATGAGTTTTGTTTGATGGCAGCAAGTGAGGATCTTTGTTTAGTTTTTTATTGTTTTATTGAGATTCAATTGTAGGTGACACTTGTAAATATAATTGCTGGTGTGAGTGATGAAATTTTTTAAAATACTAGACCGAGTGGATCTTTATAGTCCTTTCAAGTGTTTGTGCAGCTATATAGTTAATTGTAAAAAAATAGGATCTTGTGGGCAAATACAAAATGCATAATCGTTTTAGATGAATAAAATACTGCGGCTTTCAGGTTTTTCTCTCAGGTCTGATGTATGTACTAATTTATTTTTTCATAAAATTTCATGATACATCAAGTAGAAAAGCGGGTTGGGCATGTACTCCTAGGCAATGAAGACTGCTATTTATATGTGATGACAGCTTTGGGAGATGGAGGCAGATCAATATCAATTTTTGGTGTTTGTAATTTGTTACATGAATTGAATTAGTGGATGACTATTGATCTACACGTTCACTACATGTCAATGTGTATTAGAATCTTTACACGTTACATTTAACATATACATGCAGGAAAATTGAGAGTTTAGAGCAATGTAGTAAAATGTAGATGTCAACTTAAAGCAGCAGATTACCGAATGATGCCATATAATCTTTCTAACCATGAAAATTATGGGATTGTATTGATTTATGCCTTTCCATTCCTACAAGCAAAGAATGTTTCTTAATAATTGACAAATGTCATTTTGATGCCCAAGTGAATTTAACTTTTTTGATATTCAAACTTCCATGATTGCTGAATTATTTATGTGGGCTTATTGTTTTCCATTTCTGTTTTTTCTGTTATCTTTGGTAATATGAATGGGCTTTGGGGGGCCTTTGTATACTTTTCTGTCTAATGATTGTCTGATTTATTTATTTATTTAAATATTTGGCTTGGCTGAGGATACCTTGAATGGTTCATGAAGTTTTTTGGGATATGGGCCATCTTCATTTTCATCTATTCATGCCTTGGCTGAGGGTGGGTTTTAATGTTTGGCAAAGCCGATCATATGTTGTGTAATGGAAATTCTCCATACTTTAATTATCATATGTTCTTTAATGGAAATATTCCATACTATAATTTGCAGCAATAGTATGCCTGCCAGTTTCTCTCTCTTTGATTTGATAAGTCTATATACCCACTTAACTCCCACCAAAACCCTCTAACCTCTAACCCCTCTCCTCATTCCCCCCCCAAAAAAAAAAACAAAATAAAAAAGAAAGGAAGAGAAAAAATAATATAATCTCAATAGGAAAAAGGAACATCACACTGAGTGAGAGAGTTGTCAGCATCTACTGCTTTGTAAACTTATGTTGTCGGATATTTTGTACAATGTCCTTGTGAGAAGTGTAATAGCTGTATTGAATGCAGGGGTTGTCAATTTCAAATTGAAAGATTATACTGCAGCTGTGAAGGACCTATCTTCTTGCGTACTTTCTGATCGAAAGAACGAAACTGCATACACATACTTAGTAAGCTCATTTTCCTTTAAGATTTGTTAATTTGTAATCTAAGCAGGTTTGTTTAGTGAGTTTCCAGCGTTTGTCATTGTCTATAGCAGGGCTTGGCATTATCATCGCTTGGTGAGTACACTAAGGCAGAAAAGGCACTCTTGAAGTCAGTACAAATTGATCCAAAATTTCAGGAGGGGCGGACTCATTTGTCACAGGTGGTTACTAATGGCTTGACAAAACGTTTTTTTTCCCCTTAAAGTAGCCAAATACTATAAGAAAATGTATGCATTAAGTCATACTCTAAAAAGTATAAAAAAGTGGACACATCTATGACCGAAAGGGGTAGCGAGAAAGGAAAAAGCTGGAAAGGGGAACAACGGACAAGTGGTTTCAGGGACCATGTACCACCATCCTTCACTATAAAGGCTTCGATGCATGCACCCTCCTAGCTAGCCTGTCAGTCACTTTATTTACTTATTTGCAGGTGTGGTTGGTGGGTACATTCAAGGAGGAACCTTAGGAAGTGAATCTTTTCTCTCACATTTTCTATTCATAGTTGAAAGATATCAACTAGAATTTATGTCAATCAGCAAGTATTAAATGGGTAGATAATAGAGAAGAAAGAAAATGTGAAGAGAAAGTGGAAAATGATGTAGGAAGAGAAAGGAGAGAGGTGCGCGAGAGAAAGAGGGATGATAGAGAGGTGCGTGATCCCTCTTTGAGCTTAATCACATATATTTATTATATTGATATGAAAAATTGCTAGAAATGCCCTTGTGTTAGTAAATAACTCACATATAACCGTATTGAATAAGATACTATTTTTTTGTCCCTAACATACTCCTACACTCGCAACATTCCTCCTCAAGCTGGAGCATAGATCATTCATGCCCATCTTGACAACTATATTCGTAGTCTATCACGGGCGACTGCTTTTGTGAAGATATCTACTGAATCTCTCTATTTCACATGAGGATGAATAATTCGAGCTGCAAGGTTTTCCCTTATGAAATAATGTTCACATCAATATGCTTTGTTTCCTCATGAAATATGGGGTTTTAAAAATTGTGGATGGCGGCTTTATTATCACGATATAGAGTCACATGTAATTGAACTTTAAATCCATATCAGCTGATATAATTTTAACCCACATAACTTCACATACCCTATGTGCCATACACATGTACTCAACTTTTGCACTTGATTTGGCCACTATGTTTTGTTGTTTTTCACTATTCCATGAGACCAGAGTCCAGACCAACAATAAAGGTACAATAACCTATATCAGTTACCAATATCTCTCACCCATCGTCGCGATTCCGATTTAAGAATTTTGATTCCGCAATTTCGATCAGGAATCTTCATGGAATCTTGATTCCTTATTTTAGGAATTTCGATTCAAACATTTATAGAATCTTGTTTTTAATATTTATTGGTTCTCGATTCCGCAAAGTTGAATCTTGGTTCTACACTTGTTGAATCTTGATTCTACATATAATGGTATTCGTTTCAATTAATTTCAAGTGCCGATTCCTGAACGTCAAGTATTGTGGTCTGTAGATGTAAGAAACCACGAATTAATCGAATATCAAATACTAATGTTCTAGGTTCACAAATCTTTGACTTATCGATTGGTTCAAATATTTATGGATTTCAATTTGGAGTTATTTGGGAAATGGAGTGGAGACGATTGTCTCTTGCTGTTCACGTGTGCTTTGAATAGTAAAGATTTTGGTTCGTTTGGATCACGTTTCCAATGGTGGTAGGATTGGCTTGGATCACATTTCTAATAGTGTTATGATTGACTTCCGTTTTTTAAAACATAACTGGTAAAGGGTTTTACATTTAAATAGGGCTACAACATAGACAACATAATCTCACAGAAAAATCCTATTTCGAACTATAATTATGAAATTAAAATCACATTTTACATATAGCAGATAATATTTGTTTGTTTTGTAGACATTTTCCCTAGGGGACTATTGAGTGTTTATTAATTAACCTTACTTTTGATCATAGTTACCTAAATCTCTCGCTGAAGGTCGGGATTTTGATTCAGAATCCCATTCGGTGATTCTGAAAAGAAATCTTTGCGGAACATGTTTTCGTGAAGTTTAGAATCTTGATTACATATTTTTGGAATCTCATTTCTAACACTTATGGAATCTTTCTTCCGATATTTATTGATTCTTGATTTTGCAATCGATGAATCTTGAAGCTACATTTGTTGAAACTAGTTTGTACATTCATTGGAATTTTACCACTTCCCCCCTTTGTTTTCTTTTTGCCATTTTTTTTGAGAAGTGATATTTAGAAGTTTTCATGGCATTAAACTACTCAAGCGAGACATTCAATCTCATGCTACAAGGTGTAGTCATCTTTCTTAGCATGACATGACCAATAAAAACCAAAGTGGTGGTCCACGTTCTCCACTTAATTTTTTAAGTCTGCATTGTATTGATCCAATGGAGAGATTGCAACTCTAAGATGGCATGACATGTAATGTTTCCCTCTCAGTTCCCTCTCGATTTCAATGCTGTCAAAATCTCGACTCTATAAATGAAAGAGTCTCTATTTCATATTGGTTGACTCCAACTAGGTCTGAAGTTCGATTCCAAAGAGCTAGCAATCTCGATTACAACTATATAATGATCTCGATTCTATTTTGGTCAAATCTCGATTCCTAAAAATAGGAATCTCGTCCTACATGATTCCTATTGTATGAACGTTGATTCCGAAAACAAGAATCTTCCAGCAGGTGGCGATTCTGTGCTTCCCACTCCTTTATCAATTAAGTTTCCGAATCGATTCAGGTAACTATGCTTTTGATACCGTGTCTGAGGCTCAATAGTCAATACATTGACTTCAAATCTAAAGAAGCCTTCTTCAGGTCTTAGAGACCTTTGAGCTTGATTGCTTGATGAGGTTCTAAGTTGTTAAGGCGTGAGATGTATGGGGGTGGAAACTTGACTCTGTAGAGTATCAAATCCTGATTGCCGGTTGGGTTGAAACTTGATTCCAAACTGATATGAATCTCGATTCGAAACAGGTATAAATCTTGATTTCAAGTATGTCTAAAACTCGATTCCAAAGATGTCGGAATCTCGATTCTGTATATCAAGGAATCTCGATAGCATATGGGTCCATTCCAAATAAGTCGAAACTTGATTTCAGAGAGGTTGGGATTTCGATTCTATAAATGCGGGGATCTCGATTTCATTTGGGTCGAACCTTGATTCTCATAAAGTAGGAATCTCGTTTCCCACGATTCTCTTAGTACAAACGTCGATTATGCAAATAGGAATCTTCTAGCTAGCCGCGATTCTGCGATTCCAGTTCTTAAAATGATTCAGAGTCTTAGGCATTTCCAACAATTATGCTTTTAACCACCCCGTTCTGCATCATTGTACATTGCAACACATATAATCATGATTAGCAAACATCAGACCTCTCCCAGGAGATGTCTTGAGGTACTTCAGGATACTACATGCAACATCTAATGAGATTTTCGAGGGGCATGCATGCATTGACTAACTGCCCTAACCACATGAGATATATCTAGTTGTGTAATTGTGAGGCATATAAACTTGCCCATTAACCTCTAGTATTGATAAGGGTCCTTTAGTAACGCTCCCATCCCATCTATGCATGAAGTCTATGATTGGCTTTTGTAGGGCTATCAATTGGTTTGGCTGCCAACGATTCGATTGGTTTCCATAGGAGTATCCAGTGGTTTGGCTGACAATGATCCGGTCTGTTGTAACATGCTTGGTACATACTTCCTCTGAGAAATAACGAATCCCTTATTTGACTTTGTCACTGAAACGCTCAGAAAATATTTGAGTGGACCGAAACTTTTTACATAAAACACTACTCAGGTAGCATTGAATATACTTGATGTCTGCGAAGCTATCTGTTGTCACTTTAAGACCATCGGCAATCATTGTATGATCAGTTCTACTCCTAAACCGCATTTCTAACAATGCTTCACTGTAACTCCTTGTGTTTCTCAGCCTATGTAGAAGTTGAAATTTGCTATGCGTGGGCTTGGTTTGTATGTGATGTTTGTCACATGCATGTTTCTAAAGTCTACTTGTCGAAGCGGCATTAGTTGCGTGTGATGTTCATCACTTCATCTTCATAGAGCGAGAATATCTACTGTGATGAGTGAGACTCACAATTTAACAGGTCATTTCATTTGATTTTCTCTTTTAACTGTTGAAAATTTCTAAAAGTGGTTCATTCCATAAAGGATTGTGGTTATCATTCTCTTTATTCTAGGAGTCTTCTGTTTCCCTGTTGTGGCAATTATGCTGATTCATGAATTTTGGGCTGGCAGATTTCTTTGTATGTAGAAGTTAAGCAAATGTTATTGGAGTTGATTTGGGATCTCTTACTTGCAGTCCCATGTGAATATCTCCTACTCTCTATTGTTTATTCCTTCACATATATTCTTTAATTAATGTGATGCACCTGCCCTTCTCTAATTTCCTAGTAGCCCGCATTAGTATAATGAAAAATCAGAAGGTCTTTCTCATTAAAAATATTTCCTGACCTACTGAGTGATCAATGACTTTGTCTTTATTAGTCTCCTCAAGAACCATGGAAGTTGTTATGCTCATACCTTACAATTTCCAACTCACTTTCCATGCTTGGAACTCATTCTTAAAGTTCTGTAGAACTGGACACTGGGTTCCGGATGACCATGCTGAGCAGACAGTGGCCTCATACCCTGTATACCATATAGGTCAAATTACGATGTGTCGGAAACTAAAATATGTGCATCCACAATCTTTGTACAATGTGTCCAGACCTTGGGTTTGAGTATCAATGGCCGATTCTGCATCTTGTATGTTAAGAACCATGCGATCACATAAATAGAAGTAAAAAAAGTGAAGCAGATAAATACTACTTGATAATGTGGAAATTGTAACCAGATATGAGATATGCTCATTGCGGACAATATGTTATTCTGAATTGTAATTCTGAATTGTTTTTTTATTTCCTTAATTAGTGTGGGTTACTTCCAGTTTGGATGCTGATAATATGTGAATTAAAATGTGGTGGATGGCTTTGTATTTATGGCATTATCGGATATGCTTTTTGGGTGGAAAATGATTGCTGGTGTTGTTTTCATTTTAATACTAGTGGTTGGATTTCATTACGAATGCAGTTTTACCATGAATTAGCACAAGTGGAAAAAGCTTCAAAATGCATTCAGAATCTTATCTCTATCGATAATAGGTATTGAGGATGAACCAACTATGTTCTATTTAGTGTTCCTGCTGTTTGAGTAGCAGTATCTCATAGGAGTGCAAATTTTTCTTGCTGTTTTTTGAATTTCAACATTCCTTGACTCTTATAGGGTTCATGTATAAACTTTCCAGGTTTGCTATGGCGTACTACTTGCATGGCAATCTCCATTATGGATTGGGAGACCATAGGTAATCTGATTTTCCAGGACTTAAGTTTCAATAGGATATTATTTAGATGTTTCATCTATAATATTTATTTATTTTGCATGGTATGCAATTTTTGATACGCTTGTATATGGATAGTGGTCTTCAAATATTGGAGAGGCAAATATGTGGCAATCTCTTGATTACGTCTCTTATCTCATCCTAGTCTGGGAGCAGAAGCCATTACACTGTCCAAAAAAACTCTTTGGGCTGACTGATAATTTTTCCATGTTACTTTGAAGGTTGTTTTTCCCAAGGTGACTACTTCTACTCGCTGTTCGTACCTTGTGCAAGCAGGTACCCTGTGCAAGCAGGTGACTAAAGTGTACGATGATGGATGATCTCATCATGAGGAGTGATGCAAATGATTGCGTACTAGAACATATTTCGATCTCAATTTAAGATGATGGATATGGTATTCTAAGTCATTTTTGGGACTGAAAGGCCACAAAAATCTTAGTAGCACCTCCCAAGGTCCCTTCTTTTCAAATTATTCCTCCATTTTTCTCTTTCCCCTTCTTCCGTTTCTTTCCCTAAAATCCTTTTTCCTTTGCCTTACCTTCACCAAAATTCTTTTGTCCTATCCTCCTTTTTCCTTCTTCCCTTTTCTTTCCCAAAATTCTTTTGTCATTTCTTTTCTTTTTCCTTTTTCCCTTCTCTGTTCTTATTATTTTTCCTCATTTGTGCTTGCTTATATTTTTTCTTTGTCCCTCTCCCTTATTATTTTCTTCTTCTCTCTTTCTCCCTTCTTTTCCACATTTTTTTTTTCTTTATATTTTTCCTTAGCATAGGCCTCCCTCCATTATAAAATCAGTCCAAACCCCAACTTCTATCCTATTGACCCAAAACCCAATGCTAAACTGTGGGAGTGCTTCAAGAAATAAACTCATTCTGAGCTGTAGGCTAGTCTTAAGCTTAATTGGAAACAAATATTGTTTGGCTGATTTCTTGTTGGTATATTCCTAGGGATAACAAAACCTCTGCATGACTAGACATACTTGTAATCAGGGCCTGGTGGTTCTTTGAACTCATTTCCTGCAAATAGTTGAACGGTGGACACCATGTCTTTAATGACTTTCGTAGGTTGGGGAAAAGACCAATGATCCTCATGTCTTTGAACTTAAAAGGTCAGCCACCTATAGCCTCTGGGAGGATTGTGTTTTGACCTTAATTGTTAGACTCAACCTGAGAATGGCCTTGGATATGCCCTCAAGATGCCTTGACTGAAAACAGGATATGTGCAAGCCCTTGGTTAAATTATGGTTGGAGTGTCTTTTGACCTTAATTGTTAGATTCAACCTGAGAATGGCCTTGGATATGCCCTAAGGATGCCTTGACTGAAACAGGATATGTGCAAGCCATTGGTTAAATTATGGGCAATTAAGACTTGATATTCATAAAAAGAACACCCACTTGCATTGTGTAAATTGTAGTTTGCATTTGATTTGATTTTACAGATAATTGTGAAAAAATTGGACCTGTAAGCACCCTAGATAAAGAGATTCTTGTGAGAGACTAAGTATGTTTCACATAAGTGGAGCTCCCATGAAAGAAGTCTCCCATAACAAAAGCTCCCACAGAAGAAGCCTCCTACAACAGAAACTCCCATGAAAGAAAGCCTTTCATAGTAGAGGTTTCTTCGTTAGCTGAAGCTCTTGCAGTGGAAGCTGCCATGTAAAAAAGCCTCTCCAAATGGAGTCTCCCATAGGGTAAGCTCCCAAGAAGGAAGCTCCCACAGCAGAAAGCACTATTGCTAGCCCAGGTACTTGATTGCCTTGAACTTTTGTCCTTGAAAAGGGAAAGAAATCTGACATAGGTGGCTAGTCCAGAACTGGTTATGCCATTGGGAAGGAAAGTCAATGATTATTAGTATGACAAGAGGCCAGGATATGCTGGCCTGGTTTCATTTGCATGAAACAGAGAAAGGCTGCATGTCACTTGGAAAGGAGCAAGGAGGACCACTTGTCTCTTGCTTCTTCTAGGATTAATAGAGAAGGATAAATTATCTCTTAGTAGTTATATGATGGTGTGGTTAATCCACCTTATGAGCTTAAGGACTCAAGCCAAAGAGTGTTGTATCTTGGGGTCTGCTCCAGGAATTCTTATTCACCATACTTGTTGACCATTGAATAAAGAGGGACTATTAACCATATGTCCAGATAGGCTTGGTTGGCCCTGGTTCTTGGTCGCGGACCAGGCGAACCCTTCCTTGAGACCGCGGTCTCGGTGTGCGTGCATGCGGTTAGAACCAAAAAGAGAAAATTTTAAGGTGTGAGGCGGGACCTTATCTCACAGATGGGTTTGTGACACGCCTGCGTCTGAGCAGTCCTCTTAGATTACGAATCGGAAGCTCCCTGCCTCTTGGCTCCGCTCGACTTTGGCTCCCTTGCACTACGCTGTGCCTTTTAAATGCACATGTTTGAGATGATTGGGAGTTGGGTTAATAATCCTTGGCTTGTCCTCGAAGGGATGTTTAAGAGTAATAGGAAAAGGGAGGGGTTAGGGATTGGTCTAAAGAGGAGACTGAGAAAAGAGGGAGAAGAAGAAGAAGAAGAAGAAGAAGAAGCCACTTGTTAATTCGGCAGCCTTTCGACGCCACCTCCACTAGGAGGCATCAATGGTAGTACAGAAAGGTACCAAACCGAAGCCTGAATACCCCGGAGGATTCTTAAGATGCTATGTTAAGGGATGAACCCCCCACACCATGCACCTCAAAGGTGCCCCCTAAAGAGCGGTAGAGTGAGAATAATATGAAGAAGAAAGGAAGAAAAACAATAGAAGGAAGTGAAGAAGAAAGAAGAAGAGTGAGAAGAAGAAGAAGAACTGTTTGAAAGAGAGAAGAAGAGGAGGTTGGGAAGAAGAGGAAAGAAGAGAAGAAGAAGTAGAGAACGAAGAAGAAGAAGGAGGAGAAGAGGAAGAAGAAGTAGAAGGAGCCATCTGTTCATTCGGCAGCCTTTTGGCACCTCTTCCCCTTGGAGGCATCAACGGTAGCACAAAAAGGTATCAGACCGAAGCCCGAATACCTCGGAGGATTCTTAAGATGGTATGTTAGGCGACAAACCAACTGCACCATGCACCTCAGAAGAGCCTCCTAATAATAACTGAGTGAATGAAGTGAAGAAGAAAAGAAGAAAGAGGATAGAGAGAGAGGGAATGGAAGAAGAAGAGTAAGAAGAAGAAGAATCGGTTGAGAGAGAGAAGAAGAGGAGGTTAAGAAGAAGAGGAAAGACAAGAAGTAGGGGGAGAAGAAGAAGAAGAAGGAGAAGTGGAAGGAGGAGGAGCCACCTGTTATTTTGACAGCCTCCTCCCCTAGGAGGCTGTTGGAAATATGACCTATCAAGGCTTAAATTCCAGTAGTCTCTCATTCACTAGAAGCGATCGAGAGATTAAAATCTTGACGTCTTGGGAAATGGAGCCCAAATTCTTTTACCCCGAGTACGTATGAGGCATCGAGAGTTCACGTGTTCAGAAAGCAATTTCTCAAGGTGTCTTAGTCAGGGTTTTATAGGTTAGCCTCATGTTTAGCAGCAATCGGCTAGGGCTTGGAGAATTCAAATAAGAAAAACAGAACCCGAGTACTAATTGAGAATTCACCCTATATAGAATGGTCAAGACTTGTGGGACATAAGTTCGTATCCTGACACGAGACTATTGCATGGCATGTGCATTTTCATTTCGTACGGGAAACCACTCTTCCAAATGCATTATTCGAGTTTGGAAGAGCCAGTGCACATGTGCTTTGAAAGGACCTTTGTAATTGAGTTGGATCATGTCCCACAGGGGTACACCTATAATCCATTGAGAGCCAAATGATCGGAAGTTTTGGCTCAACGGCTTTGATATGGCCAATTATGTGTCTCTGCTTTAGACTGTGGAACATAGGTCTATTGGGTCGATCTGAGACTTGGTAGAACATCATTCGGGACTAGCCTAATGGAGTACTCTGATACCTATAGTTATTAGCTTGAGATCTCATTATACCTTTTGTCCGATTTTATAATGATGAGAAAAACCTAATAATTGCTCAAAAATACTTTAAATATTTATTGTGAATTTTAGAGAATTTTTCGGAATTTTATTTGCTTAAAAAAATAAGGGTTTTCATATTGTTTGGCTCAAATTCCACTTTGGTCCTGACCTGGTAGTGCCATGTGGTGTCCAAGTGGCCATAGGGCTGCCACATGGCACCCAAGACCTCACTCTAGGATCACCGTCCAGCTGGGCACTGATCCCTAAGTGGGGGACTAGATTGGCATTTGGTTGCTTGTTTTATAAGGGTTTGTGTTATGGTGTCTTGTTATATAATGTTATAAATTAATGCTCTCTTTTTATCACATGTCTTAATTAACTCACACATGGGTCAGGCTTGGCATGTATGAAGTTTAATTAATTAATTTATTTGATATTAAAGAAAATTCATTTTCAAATTTGAGTTGAAAAATATCTTCACACACATGTGTGAAAGTGACATTATCTTTAAATTGATTGGTTTGAAATTTTAGATCTACAAAGCGATTGGCTTTGATAAAGAAGAATATCTCCACTTGTGTGAGCTTTGCCAATTACTTCTTTGCCCTTTTGCCTTTGTGGTTATCTACTCTAATACATTATTAAGAGAAACTAAGGGTATTTTTGTAAGGCCATATTAGATACAATTGAAACAAAAATATGGGCCAAGGACAAGATGATAAAGTGGCATAACTTAGGGTTAGGGTTAGTGATGATGGTGTTAAATTCCATCCCTTTATCGTAGTAGTTGGTGGGAATAGGTGGCTAGGTACATTAGCCTCTCATGTGCCTTTGGATTAGTGCATCAAGGGTGTTGATTGAATCCAAAGTTATACCTATGTTATAAAAGCACATCATGAGATCTCAAACCCTAATTGTCTCAACTCTTGAACCATTTTGGAAAATTGTTACTCCCCTCTTTCTTCTAAGGTTTTGTGAGAGAAAATTGAAGATAGAGAGCTTTTAGAGTTCCATTA